CATATTAAAGCGTCTTTGGTTTTTCCATGTTTTCTACAAAACAAAACTGGAAATCGAGGGGTTATGACGTCATTGGCAGGCGACACAATGACACTATACACAATGTCACTAGTTAAAATTGCTTATTTCTCTGGATTTAAACATTCTTCAAAACATTTGGGATAATGTAAGTACACAAGTCAGCAAAATATATAACACTGTTCTAGTGGTTTTTGGATATTTTTATAAAAAAAAATCGTACATATTTTGCCTTTAAGCAGCCATGTGCAACCATTAAGACAGGGTTTACTCTAGTCTAGTCGGTTTCTTGAAAAAGATGTATTTGCAGAATGGATTAAAAATATATTTATTATATTGCAACAATAAAAATGTGTAACTACAAATATACTGTATTTATTATATACATGACATATAAGTTTCAATTAAATTACATTAAATATATATTTTAGTTAACTAGAAAGCTTATCAGCACATTCATTACATTACATTACATTATTTCGCAGATGCCTTTATCCAAAGAAACTTACCAATGAGGACAATATACACAATCAAACCAACAAAAGAACAAAAATATGTAAATAATAAATAAAAAGAATAAAACGTAGATAGAATAGAGTTAGAATATAGAGAGCTAGTGTTAGAGGGTCAGGTTATTATTATTATTATTATTATTATTGTTAATAATTCAAAAGAAAACAAGCAGATGTAATAGGAAAAGAATAGAGAACGCTTGTGTAAGAGGGTCAAGCTTTTTTTTTTATAAATAAAACAAAACATAGAATAGAATTAGAATAGAGGGTGTTAGTTTTAGAGGGTCAAGGTTTTTTGTTTTTAATAAATAAAAAGAAAACAAGTAGATAGAATATAAATAGAATAGAGAGTGCTAGTGTTAGAGGGTCAAATGAAGGTGGAAGAGATGTGTCTTTAGGCGTTTCTTGAAGATGGTTAAGGACTCAGCTGCTCAGATCGATTTGGGCAGGTCATTCCACCAGCAGGGGAACAGTTAAGGTAAAAGTCCATGAAAGTGATTTTGTGCCTCTTTTGGATGGCACTATAATGTGCCGTTCACTTGCAGAACGCAAGATTCTGGACGGTACATAAGTCTGAAGTAGTGAATATAAGTAAAGGGGTGCAGAGCCAGTGGTTGTTTTAGGCAAACATCAATGCCTTGAATTTTATGCAAGCAGCTATTGGTAGCCAGTGCAAATTGATGAACAGAGGTTATTAAAGACTTGTTAAAGTCTAATCTTACTGCTGCATTCTGGATTAGTTGTAGAGGTTTGATAGAACTGGCTGGAAGACCTGCCAAGAGAGTGTTGCAATAGTCCAGCCTGTACAGAACAAGAGCTTGAACTAGGAGTTATGTAGCATGTTCCAAAAGAAAGGGTCTGATCTTTCTAATGTTGAATAAGGCAAATCTGCAGGACCTGGCAGTTCTAGCAATTTGGTCTGTGAAATTCAGCTGAACATCAATCACATCTCCAATGTTCCTACTTTAGTAATGCAGTGCACTTTAAGTACACTTTTATTTTTATAAGTATATATTCCTGTATTAAGTACTCTTTTTAAAAGTCTGCTAAAGTGTAGGCTATTTGTTTTTCACAAGGTGTCATATCTTGCCTTTACAAAGTGCCTGTTGAAGTCAAACAAGACGGGATAGACAGACATCCCCACACTTAAACTCACCTGACAATTCCATATTTGATCTGCAAACAGAAAAGAAAAGAAACAATGAAAAAATAAAACATACAATGTTACATTCTCTTCTATTTATTTATAATAGATCAGGGGTTCTCAACTCTGGCCCTCGAGGTCCACTCTCCTGCAGAGTTTAGCTCCAACCTTGATCAAACTTTGCTGTTGGAGCTAAACTCTGCAGGAAAGTGGACCTCGAGGGCCAGAGTTGAGAACCGCTGCTGTAGATCATTGTAAATCTAATCATAAAAATGTACACTTTATATTGAGAGATATATTATACATACCAGTGAGATTCGTCTGTTAGGCAGTGGCGCTGATAAATAAAGTAAATTCTCACAACACACAATTTTGAGGATTTTTTTCTCTCTCCATGTTTGTGGTTAGGCAGGGTTCTGAACCACAGTCAAGTTTTAAATGTTTTTTTTTTTTTGACCCATAAATAGACCTTGACGCTTCACAACACTTCAACAGTGTTTCTGAAATCAGGTGATTAGGTTCTGCTTTTTTTTCTTTTCTTTCCAATTAGTAAATAAATATTTTAACAGATTTTATAGTTGTTGTTTTTCACACACAAAAAAGTTATATTACGCTTCAAACCAAAACATTATAAGGCAAGGCACTAAATAAAATAATGAGCAAATAAGAAGAAAATTACATTTTAAATGGTATTACAGTTGTATTATATGTCATATAAAAAGGTGAAGTAGGTCTGGCAGTTGTGACTGTCAAGTACACACTATCCAGAGAAGTTTATGCTTGATCTGGGGCAATCAAGCTGTGGTCATCATGATTTGTTTATTTGCTCCAGCAGTGACTACTGCTTGCTCGTTCAGTTTATATTTCTAATGATTTCTAATATATTTCTGATGACTAATAGTCATCGTTGAAACATGTTGATCCGAGATCTGTTATTGTTTTGTGTCTGTAGTATGTTTGTAACAGTTCCCAGCAAAGTGATAAAGTTACACAAATAAAAAGGGAACCTGATCTTCTTGAATGAATGAGCGAAATAAAAGAGGAAAATTTACAGACAACACAAACTGTATTTAAGCCAAGGTGTATTATTACATATGATACAAACAAAACAGCATGCCCAAAATCAGTCAGTCCCATACAGTTCAATAGCGTGAAAGTGTGTGTATGCGTGTGCTAAGCCTCTCTGAGTCCAAAATATTCACTATATACAAGAGAGAGCTCGGATCAGTCTCACCGGTAATGCTGTTTATCTATGTGGAGTGTAAATTCAGACTGCGCTGGCAGCCCTGGCTCTAGATATGAGATGAAGGATGTGTGATATTTCAGGTGGGCCGGGGGTGTGTGGGGGGGATTATTTAATGCTTTAAATGAATCTCACATCTATTGATATTGTTTTAATATCATAAATGTATGGCATTTGTTATGTATTAATTTAGTAACCTTAGATTTGATTTAAAAAAATCCATTGAGACTGAACCTGTCTCCTGTTAATCTCCAGATAATTAACCAAAACTATGCAACCAAACTAAAATAACCCTTTATTTGATAGAAATAGAAAACAAGTGTGATATTTGTTTTGCTCACTAGGTTGCTATATGAGCGTATGGGACGCTCAGTGGATTCAGGTGTAGTGCATCAAAGATGGAGGTGTGTGTTTCCAGTAAGAGAAACACGAGAGGGAATCCCAGTTTAACCTTTTAATCAAAGTAGGTTTGTATATGTCACTTCACACATGTGGTCTATAATAAACAGAGGAGAAACAAGGAAAACAGTTGTAAATATATCAGTAAAAGGACACACATTCAGTTATTAAGTGATATATGAAATAACATACATTGTTTAACTGCGTGCTGATTATATTAATAAATATTTGAGTAATCAATGACAAGTAGATTGCGCGCCATCATTGTGTATGCTCAATATTACAAGCGCGAAACATGCAATGTCATCAAATTCGACAGTTTTAAACAGTATTGAACAAACTGGGTGATATATAACTAGTAAGTGAAATTAATATTTTGTATTTCAATAGAAATACACTTATTTTCAAGCTCAAAATCCGATATGAAAGCATTTCACTTCCAGTTTCGCTTTGTGACGCAGTTTAAAAATGCGATAATTTTACGGGCATATATTGACATTAATATTAAGGCAAAATATATATGAAAACTTACCCGTAATCATTTACGCACTGGAAAAAACATATACAAAGTTGAATAAACAGTCCAGCCCACCTGATTTGTAACTCTGCTGCCGTTGACGCACCTAATTTTCTTCTTGTGCAAGATGGCGCCGCGTAAGGCAGCCACGGTGTGGAGCTCTCCCTTTCTTTTGCTGTTTTTGTTTGTTTGTTCTGTGTTTAGTCATTCTTTTACTATCAGTTTTGCCAGAGACGAACTACTGGACATAAGGCAACACACACCAGACAAAATTTTTCATTTTTTTTGATTATTCAGACGCTTTGTTGGATGTTCTAGTCGGAGGGGCAGCAGTCCTGTTCAAATGTGTGCTTAGACGGAAATGAGGGAAGGGAGATGTTAAGGTAAAAGGAGGTTTAGCTCCGCAAACGCGACTTCTGAACAGCGCTTCCTAGTATCCATCTAGCGAATCTCCGATCCCTTCCTAACAAAACGGATAAACTACTTCTCCTCACCAACACAAACAAGGACTTTTCAAACTCTGCTGCATTGTGCTTCACAGTGAAGCCATTCCGGATAACATGCTACATCTGCCGGGCTTCCAGCTGTTCAGAGCGGATCACATCGCGGAGTTAACGGGGAAAACAAAAGGCGGTGGACTATGTTTCTACATAAATAAACGTTGGTGTTCAGACAGTTACAGATGAACACAAGACAGACTCAATGACGGCTGAGTAGAACTATGTGAGCAGCTCCTGTGGCAGGTTGAACTTCCTCAGCTGGCGAAGGAAGTACAACCTCTGCTGGGCCTTTTTCACAATAGAGTCAATGTGATTGTCCCACTTCAGGTCCTGAGAAATGGTGGTGCCCAGGAACCTGAATGGCTCCACTGCAGCCACAGTGCTGTTCATGATGGTGAGTGGTGGGAGTGCAGGGGAGTTTCTCCTAAAGTTCACTACCATCTCCACTGTTTTGATCGTGTTCAGCTCCAAGTTGTTATAACTGCACCAGACAGCCAGCTCTTTAACCTCCTGTATGTAAGCAGACACGTCTCCGTCCTTGATGAGGCAGATGACTATAGTGTCATCCGCAAACTTCAAGAGCTTGACAGAGGGGTCTTTAGAGGTGCAGTCATTTGTGTAGAGGGAGAAGAGAAGTGGGGAGAGAACGCATCCCTGGGGGCACCATTACTGATAGTGAGGGTCCTGGATGTGAGTTTCCCCAACCTCACTAGCTGCTGCCTGTCTGACAGGAAGCTGGTGATCCACTGACAGATTGGGGTGGGAACGAAGAGCTGGGTCAGTTTGTCTGAGAGAAGATCAGGCATGATGGTATTGAAGGTCGAACTGAAGTCCACAAATAAGATCCCTGCATATTTCCCAGGTCTGTCGAGGTGTTGCAGGATGTAATGCAGTCCCATGTTGACTGCATCATCCACAGACCTGTTTGCTCTGTACACAAACTGAAGAGGATCCAGCAAGGGTCCAGTGATGTCCTTCAGGTAGGCCAAGACCAGTCTCTCAAATTACTTCATGACCACAGATGTGAGAGCGACAGGTCTGTAATCATTAAGTCCAGTGATTTTGGGTTTTTTGGGGACCGGAATGATGGTGGAGCGTTTGAAGCAGCAGGGAACTTCACACAGCTCCAGTGATCTGTGGAAGATCTGTGTGAAGATGGGGGCCAGTTGGTCAGCCCAGACGTTTAGACAGGCAGGTGAAACACCTTAAGCACAGGTTGAATGGTGGGTAGGGTGGCCATATGTGCCGTTCATACAGGACACGTCCTGGCCAGGATTTTTATATTGCCTAAACATCCAAAGTAGTTTGACCAATAACATGCAGGTATTGTATATAATGGACCAATCTTGGCGCGTGAGAAGGTGAGATCTACAGAGTACGATCAAAGTGATGCAAATACACGCACGTGTTTGTTCGACTTGAAGCGTCGCTGCACACCCATCATTAAATGACACCAAAGTACTGCGAGAGCGATTCGAAATCATAAGGAGCCATCTACTCTGCTCTCTATAGCTCTCGTGAATGTCATACAACGATCGATATGCACAGTGCAAACAGCCAAAACCTGGACATTTTAGGCAATATGGAAATCCTGGCAAGGTTGCGTCCCGTAAAAATGGCCCGTATGGTCACCCTAATGGTAGGGGATGCAGGAAGTTGGTTTGCAGGGGGGGTAGGTGAATGTGTAAAGTGCAGATAAGAGTGGGTGGGGGGTTAGAGACTGGGCTTTTCAAACCGGTAGTAAAACATTCAGATCATCAGCCAGTTGTTGATTCTCCACAGACTGTGGGGGTGGTGTCTTGTATTTGGTGATGTTCCTCAGACCAGTCCATACTGATGCCGGCTTGTTGGCTGAAAACTGTTTTTTTCAGCTTTTCAGAGTAGGTTTCTTTAGCCACTCTGATCTCCTTTGTCAGTCTGTTTCTGGCCTGGTTATACCAAATTTTATCCCCACTTCTGTAAGCATCCTCTTTGGCATGACGAATCTGTTTGAGTTTCCCAGTAAACCATGGTTTATCATTATTGAATGATAAGAATAACCTGGTGACTGATATATGAAGTTACAGTCTCTGTGAGCTCGTCCAGATCGGTGGCTGTAGCTTCAAAAACACTCCAATCAGTGCAGTCGAAACAGGCTTGTAAATCCCGCTCTGCTTCATTAGTCCATCTCTTTACAGTCCTTATTACAGGTTTAGCTGATTTCAGCTTCTGCCTGTAGGCCGGTATAAGATGAACCAAACAGTGATCAGAGATCCCCAAAGCTGCCCGTGGGACCTTTATTGTGGTGTAACAGTTATCCAATATATTACTGTCTCTGGTGGGACATGTAATGTGCTGTCTGTATTTTGGCAGTCCACGGGAAAGATTTGCTTTGTTAAAATCTCAAAGAATGATTAATAAGTAACAAATAAACATATTGCCATTTAGAGCATTTATTTGCAGAGAAATGACAACTGATCAGAAAGACAAACATATAATAATAATAATAATAATAATAAATGGTGCAGTGTTTCCAGACCTCAAATAATGCAGGTTCATGTTCATTTTTTAAGGACACATGAATCAAGCCATGTACAAGGCTGTCCTGGAAGAAAGCTTGCTTCCTTCTGCTCTGACAATGTTTTCAACTCTGAGGATTGGTTTTTCCAGTAGGACAATGCTCCATGCCACACAGTTAGGTCAATCACAGTGTGGATGGAGGACCACCAGATCAAGACTCTATCATAGCCAGCCCAATCTCCAGACCTGAACCCCTACTGAAAACCTCTGGAGTATGATCAAGAGGAAAATGGATGGTCACAAGTCATCAAACAAAGCTGAGCCAAGATGCATGAAAGCTGTGATTGAAAATTGGGGTTATTCCGACAAATATTAATTTCTGAACTCTACCTAAGTTAAATCATTATTATTGTGTTAACAAAGAGGAATGTGCCCGATTCCAGCCTTGCTGAAGCACCCCCCGCCATCATCACCAATCCTTCACCATTTCACAGTGGGTGTGAGACACTGTGGTTTGTAGGACTCTCCAGGTCTCCGTCTAAACATTATATGACCAGGTGTTGGGCAAAGCTGAAAATTGAACTCATCAGAGATGATCACCATACTCCAGTCCTCTACGGTTCAATCTTTATAGTGTTTTGCAAACCTCAGCCTTGCTCTTCTTTGCTTCTCATTGATGAAGGGCTTTTTCTAGCTTTGCTCTGCCCCTAGGAGCCGGTTTCAAACCGTCCTCGTTGTGCACTTCACCCCAGCTGCAATTTGACATTCTTTTTGTAGGTCACTTGATGTCATCCTACGCGGTTGTTGAGTGACATTCAAATGAGTTGACGGTCATCCCGGTCAATAAAGAGTTGTTTTCGCCCTCTGCTGGTCTGTAGCTTTGTTGACCCCAATGTCTACAGCTTGACCTTG